GCATCAGGGCCTCTAGCCCACCCTGGGCTAGAGGGAGGTGGTCTGTTATTGGCTTCAAAAAGCCCTGATATTAATTGAAAGTTTTAGGTATTAATAGAGCAGTGATAGTTGTCATCATCTGGTGAGCCCTAAAATTGAAGAAACCCAGCTGAGATGAGTTCAGTAGTGAACTCAGATGGTTTCTGTTCAACAAGTTTGTTGTGTGACCTGTGGTGTTCTCCTCCAAGTTCTATTGATTTTTTAATTTACATTTTTTTCCTAGCATGCTTGATAAAACATAAAGATGAAATATACTAATTTCACAGTTTATGCTGGATAAAACTAATGAACTATGAGTGTCAAGTACCTAAAATTTAATTCTGGTTCATTTAACAATAGTATTTTTTTTTTAAAGAATGCAACTGTTTTCCGTTGCCATAAACTAGAAGCATGGCCAAAGAAATAAAGTGTTGTGCTGTTTTTTCCTGTGGACTTGGTAAGGGAGAAAGGTGAATTGGTCAAGAGAACAAGCAAACAGTTGTATTCATCACAATGGAATAACTGTCTTCTGAAACAGTAGTAACAAATAATTGGCTGTGATGCTGTACCCTTCCCTTGGTTGGTGAAGCTCCCTTGACTAAATTACATCGTCCACCTGAAAGGTGTCAGGCAGTGTATTTAATAAGCATAAACTGACAATAATAAATGCCAGACAAATGTATGGAGGTTCTTTTCTTTTAGATCAAGTAGTCATACACTCAAGCATCTTTTTAGTGATTATGAAACAGCCTTATTACAGCAACTGCAGTACATTTTTTCCCTTCTCTAGGGTGTTTTTGTTTGCCTCGCACTACCACTGGGTGTTTCATTGTCCGCCAAAGAGGGTCAGCTGGGTCCTCTTCCTGAGCGGTTAGTTAATTCAGGTGGTTCAAATGATGTTTTTCAAAGTGCTTTGCCACCCATTTGTCAATACTCAGTTTCTCCTGGCATTACTTTGCCCATTCACTTTGCTTTGTTAGTTTGCAGAGATCATGTATCCTGAGCCTGCAAACAATGATCTGTAAATCACTGCAGCCTCCTCAGCTCCTCCTGGCATTTTACGCTGGTGGATGACAAACCATCAGTACAACCACCCAGCAACCACGGGTTTATAGGATGCAATTCCTTCTCTTTTGCACCTTCCAATTGTTCACCCTTCAAAGAACCTTTTCTTTCTTAAATGTGAGGTTTCATGTATATTGACTTTGCAAGTGCTCCCAGCACCAGTTTGTACTTACTAGGGAATTTCCATATTTCCTGTCATTTTGTTCATTGTCTTTGTCCATGCTCTAATGTTTAGTGATATGGTATATTATTGTAGTCCTTGACACAGCAGAGCACATCAGTCAAAGGGTAGAACCAAAACACTGAAGACCAATCCAGCCGTATCACAAAGCAGTGACACTCATGTTTCTTTCTAGCATGTGATTTTGATTACACACACACAGAGATTACATGAAAATATTTCCATACTGATAAATTACAGTAAATTTACTTACCCCACAGTCTTCATACAGGAGGATAACAACTGTGAAAAGTGTGAAGCACCATTATGTTCGTGTGGACCAAATCAAAGCTGTAAGGACTGCACAATGTTGTGAAGCTTCTGATGCCGTGAAAAGCCGGAATTGAAGACTCAATAGTCGGCAGACTATTAAGCAGGTATTCTTTATTGCGGCGCCGGGCACACGGGGGATCTCTCCTCCAAACGTGTGCACCGAAGAGACACAGTTACTAGGTATTTATGCTATGTTAACATACATATTAATTACATTTCCAAGAAATGTTTATCATAGTAATGGCTTTTCCGAGAATTCATTAATATATGGTAATGTCCGTCACACATGTTTGTTTGGCGTCTCTCGGCGGGGGTCTTCAGATTATCCTGCAGCCTCCTTATCTCTGTAGTTTGCATACCTGTTCTCCCAAGGCCCAGGCGCCTAAAGGGATTATTCAGGAGTCCCTTGTTTTGCAACCGTTCGAATTATTCACAAAGAACCAAGACTTGTTTCTGACCACCTGAAGTGATAACATCCCCCACATGTTACATTTGTTACATTTACAGTTATCACTTCCATTACGTGCAGCTCTTGGTTATCATCCTGTTTTAGTTCAGAGAATTGGACTGAATTTAGAAGAAGACAAAGGAAAAAAATGACTTGAAGCAATAATAACGAAATGCTAGGCTTCCTTGGCCTTGAGCGAAAGCCAGGAAAGGGGAACAGCAGTGGCTACAAAGATATTTCCAAGAACCCTGTGGTCTCTGCTTTGCTTCTTCAATACTGTTAAACAATCTCTGACAAAGCAGCTACCTGTTCAAGCTTAAAGGCTATATTGGTGATGAATTATAATTGCTAACTAAGTTGCTATGGTCATTCTTGCTAAGAAACTTGAAATAATTTTTACAATACTTTAAGCTTTCAGGGACTCTTAAATTATCGTTTTAGTGAATATGACAGCACTGTATCTCTCTGGGGATTAAGAAAACAAAAGTAATCCAAATAAACCTTGTGGAGGACTGGGGGTGGGGTGGATCGTGTGGAGGGAGGGGGTGTGTGTGCTGGAAGCCAACCTGAGTAATGAATGCCACTTCTATTGAACTGGTGGGCAGACTGTGAAATCCCACCTGAGGAGCAGGGAAGACATAGCTTTTCTGCTTTGTGAATTAAAATTCTGCAAGAATACATCAGCTGTGATTAACGTGACTGTGAGCAAGTATGAGTGTGGCATGCTGTACTTAAGTATTATAGAAGCCATGAATTCTTCTTTACTTCCTGTCAGGTTGAGCTTTTGTGTGTGTGTGTTTTCTTTAGAGTGTTTTATCTATGAACAGTTTAAGGACTTTATTTTAAAAATCGCTTATAATATGTCAATATTTTTGATTCTGTGACACAAATTCCCTTAGCTAGGTTGATTCAGTAACATATAAGCAGTCTGGAACATTGTTACTGAACTATGGAGTCACATGGACTGTACTGCTGACCACCACATAAAATAGTAGTCAGCCTTTTTGAAAAATAGTGGTTTAATGTATTGTTCATGCTTGCATTTCAAAGTTATGTTTTATCTTAACAACCACTTCTAAGACAATAAACAAAAAAATAGAAAGGACCCTAAAATTTGACCAGAAATGCTGCCCATTATTTGAATTCGTGGCATATATGTATCGCATATGGCATTGTACTGGCACAGCACTTCCCATAGCATGCAATGCTAGAAACAACTGAAGAACGCACGGTTCTCTTCCACTTTTTTGAGTAAAAAACATCTCAAAAAACAGCTTGTTTTTTTTTAATATTCAACTCACTTCAATCTATGTTGTTCCTTATAGGATTCCTAAATAACAGTTTGACTCAAGCAAACTCTAGAAATCTAGAAGTAATGTTGGTTTTTTTTTCTGAAAATGTAACTGAACTAACAATCTTCTCCCTCATACTCCCATCCCTTTACAAAGAGATGACCTATCCAAAGACAATTTACAGTTTAAGCAAGAACTATCATTTTTTTTCCCCAGTAACTTTTTTGATACGCAACCAGGTTAAACCTTTGCAACTTTATGAGGAAAGGCTGAGGGAGCTGGGCTTGTTCAGCCTGGAGAAGGCTCAGAGGGGATCTTAGAAATACTTCTAAATATCTCAAGAGTGGGTGTCAGGAGGATGGGGCCAGACTCTTTTCAGTGGTGCCCAGCGACAGGACAAGGGGCAACGGGCACAAACTGAAGCAGAGGATGACTGGAACAGGCTGCCCAGGGAGGTTGTAGAGTCTCTCACTCTGGAGATATTCAGAACCTGCCTGGACAAGGTCCTCTGCAGCCTACTGTAGGTGACCCTGCTTCGGCAGGAGGGTTGGACTAGATGACCCACAGAGGTCCCTTCCAACCCCTACCATTCTGTGAACTTAAAACTGTTTCTGAGTAAGTATGCATAATTATTCCAAGAACTCAAAGGCTGAAACCTCAATATCTTCTGTTTATTTATCCTGAGCTACCACTATCACAGAGGTTTTTACAGTACCTTGAAGAAATAACATGCTCAGATACTTTGCCTTTTCAATATTGAAACTAAAACGATGTTAGCTAATGAATGTCTATAGGCATTTTTATGTTGCTGCTTCTCTCCATTCTCCATAAGTTGCTATTATCAGGTGTTAACTGTGAAGACACAAAAAAATCATAGCTAACTTTAAGGCTCTATTGGCACAGTGCAGAGCTAAAGCCTGGGGCAGGAAATCCCCATTATCGGTCGGTTTCAAGCCTCTCCGTTTTCCGCGGAGCTCCAGCGACGACCCTCTCTCAGGCCCAGCGCTGATCCAAGCACAGACCAAGACCCCCAAGGCGGTTCTGAGGGCTGCACCAGACCGCGGGGCGGGCATCCCTTTCCACCCTCTGTAGAGAAGTGGGGAGAAGCACCCGACAGGACCCATTAGGGCGCCGGGCGGGCCTGCAACCTCTGCAGTGAGGACCGAGAACAAGTAACAGACACAGCTTGCTAACCCGCGTTATTTAAATCGAGCTGCTTGTCGAACGGCTTTATGAGTCCCTTCCCCTCTGAGCTCGCTACCCTTAGAGGATGAG